CAGCAACCCGATGAATTCAAGCTATGCCCCATATGTGATATAGCGTAAACCGTTCATTACTATAAACAAATCCATGTATCATACGCATCATCATCACCGTCCCCGGTTGTTGGTTTAAGCAGCAGCGTGTATGACCTTGAACCCCTCGCTGACGGCCTTGGTGATATCTTCGTTCTTGTGTTGGAGTAGGCCTAGCGCGTACGCGACGTCGTTCCATTGACGTTCCGTCTCGCAGCGGGGGAGACGAGCCGCGAGTTTCTCAGCGAGCTGCTTGGCGTGTTTGTCCTGGAATTTATTGTTAGCAATACTGCAAATAGCATCGGCGTATAGTAGGAGGGGGATTGAATATACCTTCTCGACAAAGCCCAACAAGAACCTGACAATTCTCCTGAAGGATTCCTCTTCCATCCCCTTGTCTGCTGATAACAAGCTGAACATATCCACGAAGTGGTTATACACAGCATTATCCTTGGTACTCAATTCCGTGAAGAACATGCGCGCTAGATCGGCGATGCGCTTGTCCTCGTCCTCTAGACACTTGGCCATCTCGCCTAATTGTCCCTTGACCTTGACCTGGCCCGCCAAGATCAAGAACGTCAGCGTCATAAGACACGTTCGCTTGACGGAAAGATCTCTGTCTGCGAGTCGGCGGTACAGGAAGTCCGTGTTCTCGTCGATGAGGTGGTTGAAGCAGACAGCCATGTCGCCGAGAGCGATCACTACGTTGGATCGTACCGTCGCGTCAGGAGACCGCTCCATTATGGTGATGAGAAGTGGTAAATGAGCCTCGCAGTACTCGCTGCTGACACACATGAGTTTGGCTAGACACAAGGTTGCTGCCGCTTGCAAGCCCTTGTCCTTGTAGATATCACTACGAGAGCAAATCTCCGCTACCATAGGACCAAAATTGCCCAGGATCGACTGTGGTCCAAACAAGAGTTCTTGCTCACGAATATGTGCCATAGCCTCCGTGAAATCATCCTCTGTAGTACCACCGATGAGGTCGAGTTCGTCGCCGGGATCCTCTGCGGCTGGAGCAGGTGTAGCTGTCTTTCCCTTGCGGCCTACGGAAGGCCTTGGCTCGGCAGGCTTGGCAGCCGTTTCCTTCTCCTTCTCCTGCTTCCGACGTTTGAAATCAAGCTCGCAAAGTTCAAGATGGACAATTTGCTTGATAGCTACATGACCAACGATGAAGAGAAGCTGAGAAAGCGCAATCGCAGCTTTTTGCTTGGGTTCCGCCGGTGGTTCTGATGTCAATCGGTTAATGGTCTGGGTGGGTGCGTCAAGGCCCATCGTGATGCCCTGGGTCATTCCCTGATCAACGGCAACGGTGGCGGTCGGATCAAAGTCGCGCGATCCTGGGCGGGACGCAAAAGGAGACTTTTGCTGCGCCGCAAATACGACCTTCGTCCTGCGCCTAATGATTTCAGTACATAATATGTCAGGATGCTTGGCAAGGACGTAGATAGCATTAATTGCTTGCTCAGCTACTCCAAACCACTCCTTGCTGTCGCTTGGTACTTCGGTGATCGCCGCCAGCCTCGCTAGCACGGCATGTTCATTAGGGAGACGGCTGAATGTGACCGTCGAGTCTTTCGCTTGTCGGCCAGTCGGGTTAAGTCTTCGTAAGGCGATACACGTGTATTTGGCTAGCTGGAGGTCAGCTCTGCCGTGGGATCCGAGGCCTGTACGTAGCATCGTCTCCATCTCGCCGACGACTATTTCGGGTGAGGCTGTGGCAAGCATGCCGAGCACAATGATAGCACCTCGTCGCTGGGATCTAGAAATCTCTCTCTTGTGGAAGCCGTATACTTCCCAGAGTTTGGCAATGACTCGGTCAGAAATCATGCCACCTTTCATCATAGTTGCCAAGAGTTGTTCTAAACTCGTCAGCTCTGCTGGTGTCGTACCAGAAGTAAGACTGATCATGTTTCTGGCAATGTAGATGGCGGCATCATTCGGCGTAAAACTATCGGGTGCTTCGAAGAACAATCGTCTGTAACAGTCGATAAGATGCGTTTGCACACCCTTGCCTTCATCGCTGTTACCCTTCGTCCAAATGAGACGCATCATTCTTCGAATTCCAACCATGTTATCTTCGACGTTGTATGCATTGCCGATCTCCAGGTAGTCCATGGCCTCGATAACCTCGGACTTGTTCTTGGATCCAAGCAGTTGGCAGACGGTAGATGTAGCTTCGTGAAGAACTTCAATGAACTTGAGGGCATCGGTGTAGTATCGCTTTGTCAGCGTTAGCTTCTCGATAGCTTCGGATGTGGCAGCGTCTTCTTGAGCTTTTTGAACAGCCGCTATTTTCTCCTCGTCAGTCATATCCTTAGGCTTCTGGGGCGATTCGATTTGCGTCGGTTCATCAATTAGCGCCGAGCTATTGGTCTTGTCTTCTCCCAACCCGGGTTCGCCTGCTGGTGGCTTTAGAGCGTCCAACTCGGCATCAACCTTGTCAAGTCTTTCTTGCCAGTCCTTCCGACCTAGTTGAGCCCCGTGTAGCACGGTGAAGGGATGGGTCTTGATCAGGGTTCCTAAAAGTTTAATGGCATTTCTCCTGACGTGACTACTTTTGTCCTCGAGACTTCGGCAAGCCAGTTCAGCAACCTTCTGTCGGCGCTTGGGGAATTTCTGTTCCAGGTCGCACAGTCTCGTATAGACTTGCATGGCTCTGCATCTGCAGTAAGGGTTGATATCCAGGAAACGCTCTTCCAACACGTCGAAGAACGCATTCAGTTGCGATTTGTGGTTCTCGCTACGCTCTTCCTGTGTAGTAAGATGGGCAATCATGTTACCGCAGACTTCGATCAAGGAGCATCGCAGGGTGTATGACTAGAAAATGTTAGGTTAGCTCGCCACATCATGGGGGTAGACATACCTCGCTATCCAATTGTTTCGCTAGCATCGTCATTTGCTTGATGACTAGGCGGGGAACGAGTTCCGAAAGCTTGATAATGAAGGACGAGACCGACTTGGGGCCCTTAGTGTCATTGGTGTTGAACTCCTTGTTGCTAATCTCTCTCAAGATCTCATCAGCTAATTGTGGGTAGTCATATTGTTCAGCTAGAATGTGAAGGAACTCGGCCATGGGCTCGGAGAGATGCTCGAAATAGGTCAGATTCTGGACGATGGAGATTTGCGCCGCTGCTATTGTATTAGCCCATCTACCAAGAAGATTTTTCCTTGGTAAAACCACTAACCGTAGCCATGGCCATGATGCTTCACGGCAATACAGAGGACCTTGAAGGCGTGCATCTTTATAGCCGTGTTCTTGACTCTCTGTTCGCTTTCTAAGACCATATAAACGGGCCTTGTCAGAAGTCCGATGAAAGTGTCACGTTCACTAGTCGTCAAGAATATCTTGCCAAGTTTCAACTTAAGAACTTTGGACATGACATCCAAGGCGGACTGTAATTGGGCGACACTGTCCCAACTACCATCCTTGTCTTTACTCGCGGCAGCTTTCGATTTGGCGCCCTTACCCCTGGCACGCGATACTGGAGCCGTAGATGATTTTTCGGCAGCTTTGGTCTCGACGCAGGCGATAGTCCACTGAAGGAGGAAGCCGTATATCTCAAGCAGAGACTTGTGGTGGGCGATCATCTCCTGTTCCTCTGGGTTCTCGAGGTCATGGTTGATGGCATCGGCTTCGGCTGATAGGCCACTCATAATCAAGTCGAATATCTTGCTGAGGGCATGGGTAGGCAAGAACTGGGTATATCTGGATTGTAGGAAAAGCTTAGAAATATGTTCTTGTGTCCTGGAAGCTGGAGTCTGTGAAGTTTTGAGATTATCAGGGGGGTTAATGGAAGTGGGTGCACACTTAAGAAGGAACTGCAGCGAATCGAAGTAGGAGCTGCGCATGATAGCATCGGGATTCCCGGCGACAGCATCGACAATCGGGTTTAATATCGGGTTCAGGAGGGAGGCGTTGGATAGAGATTCCGGATCCGTCTCGCAATCGACTAAAGCGCTATCTGCTTCTGGTGTCGCGATAGCTGCTGGGTCACTCATATAGTGCATGAGCGCCTCATTGATATCAAAGTTGACCTGATCCATGTTTGCGGTTGTATTTTTTGCGCCAGGTCAGCGCCGCAGAGGGATGCAAACGGATACTGAAGATGGGTGGATTAAAGGTAGTATTGATCTTTATAAGCAAGGTTAGAAAATAGAAGAAGCATGGAACATGTCCACGAGACCATTCGATAGGAAGATAGGAGAAAAGTCTATTGAGTCTATTGAGCTTACAATAGGGGTATCTCAAGTGTATTTCTTGCTATGTCGCGAAAAAAAAAAAAAAAAAGAGGGGATCAACAATACCTGACGACATGGAGGTCTGGGAGGTGTAGATTTGTAGGTAGATTTGTAGATTGATAGTTGATAGTGGACGGTGCTGTGGGCGATGGGCGATGGGCGATGGGCGGTGGGCGGTGGGCGGTGGGGTATTATGCGACCCGTAGCAACGGGATTTGTTTTTGTTTAGTTACACGCTTCCTATTTGGTACTAAAACTTCGTCTCTCGACCAATCACAGCCTTGTCAGGGGATTGCGGGACATCCATCCACCAGCCACTTACTAGCGTCGTTTGTGGCAAATACTGTGCGGCAACTTTAAGGCTACTGTAACCGAAGATCCAGAGTTGAGCTAGCGTCAATTGAAGTACAAAGATACATCCATATCTCCATGATACATACATATTACCTACTGTTACTAGTATGTCATAGGTACTATATCACTTCGACTGTTTGACGAGTAGCATCATGGATACTCCCTTAGCCTTAGATGTTCTTAAAATTATTCATCATGCTCCTCATGCATGTGCTGTAATAAATATAAACATAGATAGACAAGTCATCTTGTACTAAGATATGTTAGCACGATTCAACAACCACCAACGACATTGGCGAACTGGCCGCACTAGTGTAGGACCTACCTATTCTCTCATGCAGATTCCGCCGGATATATAAAGCAACATTTTTAGCTAAAATTTCACAGCGGGGTTAGCTCAGCTGGGAGAGCGTCAGACTGAAGTCCAACTTCAGGATCACCAATCATCAAATCTGAAGGCCGTGCGTTCGATCCGCACACACCGCACATATTATCTCGTAGGAGGAGTCCTACATTCTCATTTTCTTTTTTTCTCAGTTCTCTTCTTCTCTTGAAGATAGTCAACCAGGGTGTCTGGTCGAATTTGATATCTCGAGTTTAGCATCTATTTACTATTTACTTTTGTTTCCAAAATGTATGCATTGAAGTTTACCTGGAGGCAACCTTTCCATTCCCTTTTCAATGTTAATTCATATCTTATATAATGACATGTGCTACGGATACTTGTGGGATTTTTACGTCAAATTCCACTTCCACTGTGGGCATGTTACGGTGTTTTGCTTTTACTGTGCATTTTTTTATTTTATATTGAAACAAGAAAATCCATGCAGCGAACAAAATTTCTACAAGTCAATTCCAACACTATGGAAAGTTTCGGTTATTCCCATTCCCACTCAATCAATTTCTAAAAGGCAGGTACATTCTTGCGAAAATATCTTCAAGAAAGTTCGCGACTTGTTGTTAGGTATGCTGTACCTACCTTGTAAAAATTTGGAAATTGCCCCGCGCTAACTAGCAGCCTTGGAGCCCTGGAAGCCGCCTACTGGGTAAGTGCCCGCCAAACTAAAAACGCGTCGAGGCCCCGAGGAACCCTTCCGAGGAATCCACCGGGCGCATTCCAGGTTTTACTTTCAGGTAGTACCTGACACTGGACAGTGGACAGGCTGACAGGGCTTATTATGTTTTTATTTACTTAGATTACCTAACCAAATTCAATTCACGTATAGGAATCCACCAAGATCACCACCATACTTTCTTCAATCTCACACAACACCCAAACTTAATCATATTATCTATCCTCTACTCGCTGAGAACTTCTGACCAACTGAGGTTCCAGTAACATAAATATTTGGCTCTTGAACTTGCTGCTATTGCCATAATTGCACCTTATTTACCAGGTGTCTATCGGCCCCTCCTTGGTATATTTCATTAGCTGGATGATAAAGTCACTTAGAAGATTAGAAGAAGAGGAAGATATTAGAGTTGTTTCGGGGTGCGTTCGGTGGGAGAGTGTATAGGGCGCCAGGAGAAGGGACTATCCCTTCAAAATTTAGGACCATGGCTGCTACTAGTCAACGTCGAGTCGCCAAGGAACCATTCCGAATTCACCGCGACGAACCCGTGGGGGAGACGTCGGATGTGGACGCGGACGTGGACGAACCTACACAAAGCCAAAGCCAGCCTCGACGAACCGAGAAGGGTTATGATAATGATGATGATAATAATGATGCCCACGAAGATCCGCTAGAAGATGCCGAAGACGAAGAGCAAGACAACCCCGTTGACGACGACGACGACGGCAGCGACACCGAATCCGATGACACAGACGAGATTGATCTCACTGTCCAACATGATATGGACAAACTTCAGGCTACGTTCCCCGACTTCAAGGACAAGTATCGCTTGATAAAGCGTATTGGAGAAGGAACCTTTTCAACCGTCTACAAGGCCGAAGATATCCAGTACCATCAATACGAGAATAGCTGGGATCTAGACGCAGCAGAAAACCAATGGCAACCCCCGCCTCTTAGAGGTGCTGCGCGATCCCGATCCAACTCCCGCTCCTCTCGAACCCGCCAGAAACCCAAGTTCGTAGCAATCAAGAAGATCTACGTCACCTCTTCGCCTGCCCGTATCCTAAACGAACTCGAACTTCTCCACGATCTGCGCGATTCCAACTCCGTCTGTCCCCTTATCACGGCCTTCCGTCATGCTGACCAAGTCCTTGCCGTCCTTCCCTACTTCCGCCACCAAGACTTTAGAAAATACTATCCTCAGATGACCGTATACGATATGCGAGTGTACTTTCGGTCCCTTTTCACTGCTCTCGCCGCCGTCCACGAAAAAGGTATCATCCATCGCGACATAAAACCTACCAACTTCCTCTACGACCCCGACAAGAAACGGGGTGTCCTAGTAGACTTTGGTTTGGCTGAGCGAGAAGGTTTAGAAACCAAACCGTGTCTCTGCCAAGAAGACCAGAAGACCAGAAAGCAGAGATTGCAACAGTCCGTTGCTTTTAACTCGGCCCAGGCAGGTCCTCAATTGGGATACCCGGTCAATGATACTCGACCGTCTCGTCGAGCAAACAGAGCTGGAACGCGTGGGTTTCGAGCCCCGGAGGTGTTGTTCAAGTGTACGGAACAGACGACCAAGATTGATATCTGGTCTGCGGGTGTCATCCTCTTGACTATCCTCTGCAAACGCTTTCCCTTCTTTAACAGCGCAGACGACATTGAAGCCATGATCGAGATAGCGACCATCTTTGGCTCCAAACGCATGAAGCATGCGGGTCAGTTGCACGGCTGTATGTTTGAGACCACGATTCCGACCATTGGCGAGCGAGGCTTTAGTTTCGAGAAGATCATGCTGTGGAGCACATGCCGAAGCGACGGCGGCAAGGACGGAAAGTCCAACTTTTTGACCGAAGAAGAGAAAGGGGCTATCGAGTTTTTAACTCGGTGTATGGAGTTGGATCCCAACCGAAGAATCAGCGCGAAGGAGGCGCTAAGTCACGAATTTCTACGAGTGGACGAAGAACCGGAAGGAGAACCCGAAACAGAGGACGACGTGATGATGTTATGATGGCTCCTCTTTGGACCGAGCCGTGATCATCTGGAGATGTACCGTCCGTCGTAGATAAAGCCCGAGGTGTTTCTACGTTACGCGAATCACGGACACTCCTAGCAATGCTACGACCTCTACCAACTTTCACCGGGCTGCAAAACACAGTGAGCATGCGCTATGTACCACAACTAATTAACTATAATCACTTTGTCTAAATGCCGAATAAGGAGAGGTGACATTGTGCCTTTCTCGCGAACCGATCTCGAGGATATGATGCCCATCTTGGATGACCGTGTACCATACTAAATCACCAATCAGGCATCCGCGCAAGGAGAGTAGCATGGGTGTTCTAGTTGGATTGACCATCCGGTATCTGTACAGTGTTTTATATACGTTCGATACTATAATTCGATGTGAATCACGAAGTACAAAAGACGCCTGGTTACCTAACATCGTCTCAACTGCTCAAAAGGGGCTTTCATCACTTGACCCGCATGTAGATATAGTCACTTCCTTCCCCAGGAGTAGGAGGTAGATATGATGATGTACCAAATCTGAGTTGGTTGATAAAATCCAGCTTATCATGTTCATTTCGATGAAGTGAAGTCACTACCAAAGCATTGAATCGCAATTACATCACGGCTAGATTACAACGAAGCATGCTTTAATGAAAAAAAAAACGATACGCAAAACAACTGACTAATCTTTCGGATATTAGATGATGGCAATAGTTACATCTTATGCGCATTTCATATATATGATCCCTTATAGATTCAGCGATTCAGTACTAGTGAGTAGGAAGATACCTAGGTAATGGGGGGAAAAAAAAGCCAAACCTGAGTAGATCAATGATCCGAAGGTGTAATTGTTTTAGTGAATCAACGAATAAAGCATACTGAAAATACATATTCTATGATAAGGGTAAAAATTATTTATTTAATATCTTGCGTCGTAAAGTAGTTGAGTCTTCATTGTTCTATCCTCAATTCTTGTAACCTCCCAATCTATTTTTGATTCGGTCATCATATACTCGACCCTCCTAGTATTCTCGATGTCTCTTTCCGGTAGCAAAGCTATCATGGACACGGAAAACGTCGTTTTCGAAGATGCTGTCCTTGAACGCCCTTGTGTTTATTGCAAACTTCTTGAATTCAACGACCTCCAGCAAGGCGGCCGCGCTCGGGTAGCTCATAACGGAACTCGATATGTTGCCTTCGATACAGAACGGAGACGCAACAACATCTCCTTTTGGGGGATAGGCTTCCCAAAAACAGAATTTCCGCTCGGGTACCAGAGAGATGGCTGTCTGCCAGATCTGCCTGCCTTGTCTAGAACTGCGTCTCGTGGATGTGCGTTTTGCGATATGCTCAGGAGAGACATATTATCTGCCTGGAACGAGAAAATTCGAAAGACTTTTGATCCTGGCCTGAATACTACCGGTACAAAGTCGGCCATCTATCCAAAGATAAATATCGAGGAGATTACATATAAATTTGGTGACGGGATTGATACAAGGCCTGAGCTCGACATGCTCATAGTTTATTTCACGGTTATGCGACTGAGAAGAGTAGTGGAATACAATTTCCAGTATAATTTCCAGGCGCGGAGTTCTGGTAAGCTCCTGCACTTTCTGATGTCGAGACCGGCATTAATGAGTTTTAGATCCTTCTTCGACGTGGTTTAATGTCCAACGTCGGCCAATCCCTCTTGGAGGCTTCTCACCCGCTCGTTATCAAAGATTGAACCAGCTCATCTGCCACTCTCTCCCAGAGGCACCAGCTCCCGTGGGAGATATCTACCTTCCAACACGTCTCCTTGATGTCGGTACCAAGACGTCTAAGACTTTACGATTAGTCGTCACAAAACAGTATCGACCGCTGGTAGAGGCTAGGGACTATGAATCACTGAGATATGCAACTATCAGTTACTATTGGGGCTCGATCGAAGACGCAAAGAAACAAGTCAAGACAACAAGGGACACCTTCAAAGAACATCTCCGAGGTATCGACGAAGAAAAGCTGCCCAAAACTATAGCGGATGGCATCAAGGTTTGCCGAGAGATCGGGATTCGATATATATGGGTAGATGCTCTTTGCGTCATTCAAGGCGACGAGGAGGACTGGGCAAAGGAATCATTTGAAATGTGTAAAGTTTTCGCTAACAGCTTCATCACATTTTGCATCCTCCGCGATTCTTGCACGAGCGGGTTTTTGGGGGAACGACGCGCCCAAAGGACGTTGAAGATCAATTTCCGTTCTGTACTCGACAAATCAGTTTCAGGTAGCTTATATTTGAGTATGTCTCGTTCACCGAGGAAGAATATACGATTTGGAACGTCTGGTCTAAGCACCGACAGAGTCGCGGAAACGGAAATTCGCGATGCTGCCTGGAGCCTCCGAGGTTGGGCATTACAAGAGGCT